ATGGATGGATGGATGGATGGATGGATGGATGGATGGATAGATAATGGATGGATGGATGGATGGATGCATAAAAAATTGCTTCATTGTTTATTTCAAGCTTGAGAGGACAGGTTGCAGAGAACATCTGGGCAGACTGTGGGAATGTAAACAGCTGTTTGTTAAGTCTACTCAACATGAGGCTGCACAGCTGTTACTGTGAAAACAAACAAATAAATAAATACATGTGACTTCTTCTGTTCTTCAGGAAACTTTGGGACTCCAAGTTAGCTGATCCTTCATCAAGGTAAATTCTGTTTTTCAAACGATATATTTATTTAATCCAAAGAGAAATGACCCGTCCCTGAACTTGTTCCTTCCCTTCACCTTCTTCTCAGGTTGAGGACACAGATCAGTAAGAAGGCTTTCTGGGTGGAGAAGGTGCAGTGCCAGGGCTTTGAGGTGTCATTGGAACAGTGTGTCGCTCAGCTGTCCCTCCCCAGAAGTGATGTTCCCTGCATGGGGGCCATGCACGCAGTGGTCCGCTGCGCCCCTGGATACCAGTTTACACATCATGGCAGAGCACCTGCTCCCCCCGCCGTGCCGGTTAGTTAGTCTGCGAAGATTTTCCGAGGAGAAAAAGAAGTGTCTTTTTCTGTTCAATTTTTCATCTTGTTTCTTCTCCATGCACATTTTAATCGTACATTTTAAATAGTTTAATATAATCGTAAAATTACTTTGAAGTAAAAAGCAAAATAAATACATTATATGTTTAGAATACGTTATATTTGGAATTAAAACTAGCCCAACACTGGAAAGATGATTCACTCTCCAAAATTCATAGTTCTTTTAGAAATGAAACTGCTGGATTTGGCATAAAAGATAACAACACCCCTGCCCCACCCCCACCCCCCAAAAAAGAAAGGAATTGATTTAACATTTCAGAGGGTGTTGCAGGGATTAAAAATCATAATTCCAGCATTTGTCAGGAGTTAAATGAAAGCACTCATATTGTTTTATATCTACCCATTAGCATTTAGCGAGCATGTTAGCTCTAACTGAGAAAGGAGTTTTTCTGGCAATCAGATCTTTAGAACATCTGATTAATTATCATGTAAAAAATTATATTTACTCACACAAAAAATATATTTGAAAATTGCAGATTTGTGTTAGATACCATTTTTCATGTTTTTAGTGTGGTAGCTTCCTATGCTACAATATGTGCTAGGCTATGCTAAGCTTACAAAATATTCTGGTGCTTTTATTAACACAAACAGTGGAATAATAAAAACAACAATAATATTAACATTATAGAACTACAGTAAATCAGGGGTTCCCAATTCTGATCCCTGAGGAATGCCATCCTGCATGTTTTAGTTGTTTCTCTGCTCCGACACACCTGATTTTAATAAATGGGTGATTTACAGGCTTCTGCAGAATATGAGGAAGTTATTAAATCACTGAATCAGGTGCGTTGGAGCAGGGAAACAACTAAAACATGCAAGATGGTGTTCCTCAAGGACCGGGATTGGGAACCCCTGCAAATGTAACAGAGCATGTAACAGATTTAAGGCTGAAATGAGCATTTTAATCATCTGGACATTTTCCTTTCAGCCTGTTGTTCGTCTGAAGGCCGGGCCTCGTCTTGGGGAGGGCCGTGTGGAGGTGCTGAAGGAGGGCAAGTGGGGCACGGTGTGCGACCACCTGTGGGACCTGGCTGCTGCCAGCGTGGTCTGCAGAGAACTGGGCTTTGGGACGGCTAAAGAGGCTTTGACCAGAGCTCAACTGGGGCAGGGTAAAAAAGTGTGCACACATTTAAAGTGCACTTTATTTTATACTTTTCATAACTATATTTAAAACATTTTACACACTGAAAGGCATTGAGATATTTTCAATTTCATTCTAAAAACATTTTAAAACCTGCTTCGGCATACTTCCTCTATTTTTGTCTTGTGCTGCTTTTAGCTTTAGCTACCATTCTGCTACTTTTAACTTTTAGCTAATATTCAGCTACTTTTGCATTTTAGCTAGTTTCACTACCTTTAGGTTTTTCTAGCCTTTTGCTACATTTGTCTTTTAATTATTATTATGCTACTTTAACATCTATCTAACTTTTTGCTACTTTTACTTAGTTTTGCTACATTTAGCTTCTAGCTAGCCTTTTGCTATTTTTGTCTTTTGTTTTATTTAACTCTCAACTAGCATTTTGCTACTTTTAGCTGTTATTTGTTTTATCAGTCACTTTGTCAGTTTTATTTTTGCTACTTTACATTTTAGCTTGCCTCTGATAGTGATATAGCATTTTAATGCATTTAGCTTCTGGCTAGTCTTTTGCTACTTTTAACATTTACTTATTCCAATAATTTAATTATGGTAGCTTTAGCTAGCCGCTTACTGTTTTTAGCTTTTAGCTATTGATGTGTTTTTTTTCTCTATAACAGATTCACACTGTTTTCTTTTTTTCTTAAGCCATTCCTCTCATTTATGTTTTATCTCGTTCTGGGAGGTTATTGAAGACGTTCACGTTTTCTAAAAACCATACTCGGCCGTACGCAAATGTCTCGTTAGCGCACAGATAACCTCATTCATAGAACAGCTAAACAGTGAGTTCAAAACCACTAAATACTAAACTTGATAAGCAGTTATTTTCTAAATGGTCCACACTTAAAAGGAACGCCAGAGTTCAGCGTGCACGCAGAGTATGATTAGCTTAGACTAAACACCTCCCAGTTTAAACGGCTGGTTTCTGAAGGGAACACTCCAACTCCATGGACGTTAGCAGACAAATAAACGCCGAGAAAATGATTACAGCCTGACGTCTGCTTCCATCACAGAAACTGATTGTTGAGGAACTCTACCCATGACCAATTATACAACTGTAAACTAAGCTAGGAGGGTCAGGAGACCAAAAAAATGTCAAAATAAACTTGTTGAATGAGAACAATTTGCTCAGCTTTGAAATGAGGATGTCGGGCAATCAGCAAGGAGCAGGCGCAAACATCCAGATGTAATGGTTCTGGTGGTGCTTTTGTTGTGGGTGAGCACGTTTAGCCACTGGGTTGGCAAAAGCAGAGTTAAACATTTCCCTACAAACCAGCACAGACCCCACTTTCTCGCACTCACTTATTGTCCTCCTTCTTGCCATACCTCAGCAGTCATTCTGTAATCATGTTCATTTCCTCCCATTATCTTTCTGCCCAAACGAGCACTTAGCATGTCCTTTAATGGCAAGTGTGTTTCCTTCTCTCTACTTTTCATAATTAAATAATTTGTGGAAAGCATCTGAAAGTTGCTTTAGAACTATATTAAGGACATGGTTTGATTGAAGGGCATTAAATGTAAAAAAAAGGAGCTTTAAACGCTGGTTCCAGAGATGAGTAAATGTATAAAATTTAGCGTAAAGGCTAAAGCGTTGTACAGTCAGCAAAGACAATTTAAAGCAAAGCTCGATGACATCATTAGCTATTTGAGGCCAAATTATAGGGCTTTAAAAGGCTTTTTGCCTGGGCCTCGAGCACCTACCCAAACACAGATCTGTTTAAAGATTTCTCTGCGTTTTGCAATCTATTTTGGTCTATGAAGCAAAGAGGTTCCTCAGTTTGAGAGCCACATCAAACATCCAGATCACAAGCCACCAGGTTTTATGTGTCCTTATGTGACAGTGTCACTCTTTAGATGTGGAAAATCATTCATTCAACCTTTATTTATAAAGGTTAGTCTCACCGAGTCACGAGGACTCATTTACAACAGAGACCTGTTTTAGACAGACAACAAACAAGAAACTACAGTAAAAATGCAGTTAAAATAAAAGTAATTTTATAAAACAATAAATCAAGGTGCCTTATAAAGCAAGGTGAAATGCTAAAAACAAGAACATATTTGCTTTGATTTTTCTATTGACCTTATCAAATGTTTAAAATCCCATAAAGAAATCAAAGTGGACAACTTCAATTCCTGTTGCAAGGTGTTCCAGGATACAGGAGCAGAGTAGGAAAAGGCCTTTTTGCCAAGTTCAGTCCACACTGAGGGAACGCTGCAGGTAATGAAGGCCTGAGAGCGCACGCTGTAACTGCACTGACGACCTGAAATGTGGGAGGAGATATAAGATGGTTGCAGACCAAGGAGGGATTTATAGATGAAAATGTACCAGTATGAGAGCCTACGTGTAGATAATGATGACCAACGAGTACAGAGTGCAGCGATGGGTACGGTAGTTACAACCAGATATGAATCTTAGTGTGCCATGGTAGACAGCATCCAACATCTGCAAAGAGCAAGCAGGGGCATTCATATAAATAATGTCACCAAAGTCAATGACTGGTAGGAAAGTGCTACAAGGTGTTTTCTGGCATTCAAAGTTAAGCAAGATCTGTTTCTGAAAAATAAACTCAGTTTTAATTTCTGTTTCTTTATCAAGTTTTTGATAAGTGGTTTAAAAGAGAGATCTGCATCAACCAAAATTTCCAAGTATTTGCAAGAATCCACAAACTCAATACACAATGCATGGATGAGATAGGAGAAAGAGTTGTTGGCACCAACTTTTTGTTGGAAAACAACATCCCTTTGATTTTATCAGCTTTTAGCAACAGTTTGAGATGGAATAAGTCTGAATGGATTATGTCAAATATGTAGAAGATGAAGAAGCTGAAAAACCTTGGCAATTATGTTAGCTCGGCAATAAACAACAGTATCGTCAGCATATGCAAGGACGCGTCAGGAATGTTTTGATCTACATTATTTATATAAATTATTTAAAAAAAGAGTGGGTCCTAAAACTGAGCCTTGTGGCACACCGTTTGTGACCATTGCGTAGCTAGCTGAAGTACCATTATGTCATTAAATTGGTTCAACTCTGCTCTTCCCCTCTTTTAGGTACCGGCCCCATCCACATGAACAGCGTCCAGTGCACAGGCAGGGAGCGGTCACTTACAGATTGTCGCTACAGGCCTGTACCACTCTACACCTGCAAACACAACCAAGATGTAGCTGTCCGCTGCAACGTTCCCAACACTGGCGTGCAGGCCACTGTGAGCAACACACACGTGAAAACATCCCTCTGTGTGCACAATGCTTTGAGGTCAGCGGATGCTAACAGTGAGAGGGAAACCTGTTTTGTTCACTTTCACATTCAGGTGCGCCTGGCAGGCGGCAGAGACCGCGGAGAAGGCCGTGTGGAGGTGCTGATGGAGGATGGAGGGGTGAAGCGTTGGGGCGCGGTCTGCAGCGAGAACTGGGGTCTCAACGAAGCCATGGTGGTCTGCCGACAGCTGGGTTTGGGATTTGCCTCCAGAGCTCATCAGGTAAATTCATCAGGCTGCAGGCGTTTTATTTTAACAAGTTTCCCTGTGACTCCCTGCTTCAGAACTTTTGTTCTTTGTGTTCCCGTTTCCTCCCCTCTTTCTTTCTCCCTCCTTTTCTTTCTCTCACCATCCTGGTGTTTGTATGACTGTGCTGTGTTATTACTGAGGCCTGAAGTAATTACAGGCTTCTCAAACGTCCACTTCCACTGCGCCGAAAATAAAAGAGGGAAAGTGAGGCGAGGAGAGATCGGGAGGGGGAAATTCGCACAGCAAACAAACTGAAAATAGAACGGTGAATGGAAAAGGCAGCTTGAGTGTGCATAGAGGGGGGGTTGCTGGGAACATTTAACAAGCAGTTTTAAAACTACGAATAAGGAGTGGAAAATGTGATAATGTATACTGATAGTGCCTATAAAAAAATGGGTTTCAGTGTTTACTGCAGAGGCTGCTCTGTGCCGTTTTCACGTTTCCTTATTGTTCTTCCAGAGCAGCTTTGAATCCAAATCTCCCCCAGTGATTCTTTCTGTCTGTGCGTCTCTGTGCAGGAGACCTGGTACTGGCCGGGATCTTCAGATGCCAGAGAGGTGCTGCTGAGTGGGACCCACTGCGTCGGCACTGAGATGTCTGTCCAGCAGTGTCGCAGAAATACACACATCTACTGTCCCCGAGGAGGAGATGGCAAAGCTGCAGGAGTCACGTGTGTAGAGAGTGAGTCTAAAAGCACAACGGCAGACAAAAAATAAATAAATACTCCTGCCAATTAACAGTTCAAGATTTATTAGTTTTAAGAAATGAACGATGTGAAATGAGTAATATGCCTTTGAGCTCATCCAGGTCAAAAACTTGACCATTTAGATTAAAAAATCTGGTTCCTGACAGACGACTTGATCATTTATTATCAGTTGATGAGTCAAAGATTTGTGTGTGGGTGTGCAAAATACAATGATGCTTACATGGTTGTTTTTTTACAGATACATATCATACTATAAATAAATGAAAAATCTAAATATACGGTTTCCTAAAACTGAAGTAACCGGGGTCAAATTAGCAATACCACAGTTTTTCTAAGAATTAACAGAGAGGCAGCCTAAAAGTACGATGTTTTTACACACGACGGCTGCACAACGCCAAGTTTTCAAAACACCTTTTGTGGCTCGAGGTGGAATCACATAAAGGTTTAGGTTTACGATGCAATAAAATGCTCAGGATGAGAAGAACCATCTCGACTCGCCAAAAAAAACCCCTAAAATCAAGAAATACCAAAACATGCAGCAAAAATACAAAAACGAGGCGTCAAAAGTTAAAAAGAAATTCATCTACAGAAGCATGGTCCTTAGTAGAGTGGTTCTTTTGGCAGTGAGGTTCTCTTAGCGACATGGTCCCGTTAGCGGTATGAAAGCAGGAGTATCCAATCCTGGTCCTCGAGGGCCACTATCCTGCATGTTTTAGGGGTTTCTCTGCTCCAACACAACTGATTTGAATCAAATGGGTGATTAACGTGTTTCTGCAGGACATGGAGATAATTCAACCATTGAATCAGGTGTTGAAGCCGAGAAACATCCAAAACATGCAGGATAGGACCAGAATTGATAAATGATCTTTAGTGATGTCACTTGTATGCTTTAGTTCAGAAAATTTAAAATATATTAAAACTGAAGAGTTATCTGTGGTTTACTTCATTTCTACTTGAGGTTAACAAAGTTTAACTATTTAGCAGCTTATGTTTGTCCAAATTGCATGGAAATTTTTTGAATTTAGCCACACAGATGGCTAATTAATATTTTAATACTTTAAATGATTTCTCAACATTGAAAGCATGATGTTGGAATCAGTTTGTGATTCTTGCAGATGCTCCTGACCTTGTGGTGGACGCTCAGCTCGTCCAAGAGACGGCCTACCTGGAGGATCGACCCCTCCACCTGTTGACCTGTGCTAACGAGGAGAACTGCCTGTCTTCCTCTGCTGCCAGAATGAACTGGCCCTACGGACACCGGCGCCTGCTGCGCTTCTCCTCCCGCATCATGAACATGGGTCTCGCCGACTTCAGGCCACGAGCTTCCAGAGAAAGCTGGACATGGCATCAGTGTCACAGGTAAAAAAATTTAAAAAAAGTGGTCAATACAGACATTTCCTATAAAGTGATGTCTTAGAACTGCTGGGCATCTTAGCAGAACTAGAGATTTTTTTATGAAAAGGCATCATGCGTCCCTTAATTCTAAGGCTTAATTTGGAAACCGATCGATGCAGGAACGCAAATAGTAGGCGGGCTGGCAGCGAGTCTGGGGGACCTATCAAATTGTCAAACTGATTTGCAATTTAGTTGTGCTGTTTAAATAGATTTTTGAGTTTTTTAATAAAATTGCGCAATGACTTTGGACTTTTTGAAGCGGAAATGCTCACTTGAAGCGGCAGCTCGTACGTGATATTAAGAAGCTTGTAAATAGCTGTTGTGTTTAAAATTAGTGTTTATGTAACTGTTTTCAGTTTACATATCCAATATGTTTTATTTGTTCAAGGCAGTCATATTTGTTCATGACTTTATTATTAGTAAGCCTGAGAGTTACCGGATCCAAGCAAATGGTTACCAGAACGCACCCTGTCAGAATAAGAGTTCCTGGATTCTGTTCTGACAGGATCCGGCTCAAATTAAGCCCTGCTTAATCCTAATCCAAAGTAGTATTCACAGCAAGAACGTACTGGTTATAGCTGTATATTGTAGAGTTGTTGTTTTTTTTATATACATTTTGCTAAAATGTGCACAGTTTACATACCATAGTCTTTTCTTTGTATCCTGATGCATGCTCAATAATCCAGGTAGATAAATCAAATGTTATTTTCTTTGGTTTCTTCAAATCTTATTTGCCGATAAGACAGTCAGGACGGTAACGTGTCAGCCTGCACTTGATCTATATTTTTGACCTTATGATGAGGATGACGTGGACGTATATAACTCAGTTTGTGGAAAACAGTACAAGGACACAAAGAGGTTCACCTGGTTCTAAAGTAGCACAAGATTAAAATGCTTTCAGAGATGAAGACCGCAGCTTAGCTGAAAGATAAGGCTGAGAACACTGTCTAAGGGTTTAGAAAGTGAAATAAGCATGAGACTCTGATATTACGGAGTTGTTAGACTATAAATAGTCCACAATCTAAAAAGGTTGGTTATCTACCACGATAAACACAACTCTGAGCAGAGGTTGACAATAAACTTCATCCTTTCTGGTGAACCCGGTTGTTACAGTCAGAGCAGCCTGGCTTCTTATCTCAGCTGTTGTGGTTCTGTGTTCCAAAACAAAAAGCTCGGCCACAACCCAATCGCTGCCCACTCAACCAGCAAACACACGGCTTGGCTTTCAGCTTCGGTCAGATTTTCTTCTGGGAATGGTTTTGCATCAAATGAAGGAGCAGCACAAAACTGATATCTTCCTTTCCACCATGAGCTCTCAGTTATCGTCCGATGCCTTCGGAGGATCAAATTTGTGGCGGCCATATTTCAAGCTCAGCTAAATCTTTTTTTTTCTGAAGGAATGGAAACAAAAAAGACAACGTGCTGAATAAAGATCACTCCAAGTGTCTTTTTATAACTTCATGGTGTTTGTCTTTCTTTGTGTTTCTTTCAGGCACTACCACAGCATTGAGGTGTTCACCCACTATGATCTGCTCACCCTCAATGGGACAAAAGTGGCCGAAGGTCACAAAGCCAGTTTTTGTTTGGAGGATACCTACTGCCCCGAAGGTAAGATGGGATTATAAACCGCATCAATCAGTTGTGTACGCTACAGCAAAATTGTGAGAAAGCAGAAGTATAAGAAAACAAAATAGTTAAAAAGCATTTGAAGACAAAATAGCTTTGATTTTGGTGGAGTTTTTGTGTAGTCAGTGTCCTACCTGCTGTAGACAATCAGAATGCTCTTATTCTGAAGAATCAGGGAGAAGCTTTCATGCAGGAGTCAAGCTAACGGCTACTCAGACTGGCTACTGTTCAACAGCAAATTTTCACCGTGACAACAATTCAAACCTCAAATATGTTGTGGAGGTTCAAGTGGAAACCAGCTTGTGGATTTTTACTCAACATTACTTCTGTACAAGAACGTTATGGACCAGATTTCAGCATGGCTGGTCTGCAGTGTAAACAACCATAAATGCATTTATAAATAACCAGCAGATGGAAAAGCAATGCAGCGTAAAAGTTTGCAAAATTGCACTTATTTGAGTTATTATTGAATATTTCAGGTTTAAGATATTTTAGATGGCATCGATTTATTCTGAACTTTGTCCCAGTTTCACTAGCCGCTGGCTTGATTCCCACCTGATCATTTCTCCCCGTTTCTCCAAAAGGAGATCATTCTGACTGCTGTCTGCTGCAGGGAAGGGAACTATAATAATGCAATATAATACAGTGTATTAAACAGCAGCTTGAACATGAGTTTGTTAGGAGCAGAAATGTATGAATACAGCAGCTTAAGGCAAGAAATCACCAGCACAGATAAAGTGACAAGTCCCTATTAAAGTGGAATTACAGTGACTTTACTGGTTTCATTCAGACACGGAAAAACATCAGTTGTTGAATTATTTATCTGTTAGATATTCATATCAGACGTTTCCAAACCTTTTGTTCTTCCAGGCCTCCAGAAGCGATTCGCCTGCTACAACATGGGAGATCAGGGCATCTCTGTCGGCTGCTGGGACACGTACCGCCACGACATCGACTGTCAGTGGGTCGACATCACAGACGTGCGACCTGGTGAATACATCTTTCAGGCGAGTCCAACACACACAAAACATCCAACTATCACCTGCCACTGAAAGGCAAAGACAGACGATAATGTTTTAGCTCATGTCTGTGCATTTTTTCACATTTGTTAATAAATCATCCCAAGAAACACTGGACAGATTTTAATGAAGCGTATGGAATGCAATCATTGGATGTAACCCCATTTAAGATTGCTGCCAACGCCAGTTAGCAGGAAAAAAGATCCAAAATGGCTCTGACTCAGTCAGTTATACAGCTATTTAGCTAAAATTACATGTGAATGACTTTCAGCTACAACCACAACCAATTTTAGCTAACTGACTGAGTTATAGCTATTGTTGGAGCCAATCCTGATTGTCTGTTAGCAAACATTGCCCTGAACCACTGGATGAACTTTAATGAAATATTATAAAGTAATCATTGGTCATGCGTCTACAACTGATTAAACTTTGAAGTCAATTGAATTCAAGATGGCTGCTACAGCTACTCGATATTAGCCAACACAAGAATGGCTAGAACTTAATCTTTAAATATTAAGCTAAAATTTGATGTGGTAGTGAGCCGAGTCGTTCACAACACAGACTTTTAACCTACATATGGAGATATTGCATGAAATCACATATAAAAGGATTCGAAAAGGAGGCGCCATGGATGCATTCCCGTCTCCTTGATGGCTGTGCTCAAGTGCCTAATCACTGAGATCCTGGAACTAGCAGGAAACACGGCTCGTGACAGCAGGGCAGGATCGTCCCTTGGCACCTGCAGCGACGAGGAGCTTGGCAGGCTGCTGAGAGAAGTGGCCATCGCTTTGGGAGGAGTTCCGCCCGGCATTCAGGCGGTCCTGCTGCCCGGAGGAACCAAAAGACCAGCCGAGTCTGGGTGGACGGATTGGACAGCATCTGCGGGCATTTTCTTCGGATCCGTTGCGGAACGGACCTTTACAAGAGATCTTTCCTGCCTACAACCATCTAGAACATTTTAATGAAACAAGGATAACAAGTTACAACATTTAATTTCCCTTAGGGACTAATAAAGTATTTTTGAATTGAACATTATTTTCAGTTATTTTCAAACAAAATGGCAACAACTTTGTTATCACAAGACGATCTCAGTCTAAAACTCTGGCATGAAAGGCGGCGGACGATATGCACCTACCTTCAAGAAATTATCAAATGCTAGACCTTCATTCTTCCCTTTGACTTTAGAATATTCAGCTAACTAAATAGTAAATAATCCTCATGGTGGAATAGCTTCAACACTCTGTAGCAACTTTTTGGATAAGAGCTAAAAGTACAGAAAATAACAAGAAACTCAGACGTTTGTGTTTCAACACCTAAATTCACTTCAGCTGAGATAAAAGCTGCGATAAAAGACTGTAATTTCAGCTAAATGGCTCCTGGCTGGGTTTCCAGCCACTCAGGTGTGCAGTACGTGTGTAGTTTTAAGTGTGTGTGTGTTTAGGGAAAGTAAACTTAGACTGGATTTATATAGCAAGCAGACCTGCATTTAGTACACCCTCTCAGCAGGAATCTGGAAAACCTTAGTCAGCACTTTATATTTGTGCAGGTTTTGCATCCTCTCTGCTGTGGTGACCTGCTCAGGCGTCCTCCGTCTATCATTTGGTCTATTTATCTCCGACAGTGCAGTGACAGTTTATCATAATTTTACAAGTGTTTACATTGCAGTCAGAATGTTTATGTTCGCCTGCGTACGTGGACTTCTGCACGGAAGAGGGACGAGCCCGCAGACATGTGACATGCGTGTCGTAAAGCGGAGCTGCAGTGAGGCCGCAGGACCGTGCTTGTGGCTGCGGTGGGAGCTGCAGATGAGCGCCTCGTAAATTTCTCGAAGAAGTGCAAGGGCGTAGATCCGTCCTCGTCTTTCATGCTGCTGGGTGTTTTTCTGTCTCGGGCGTCGCAGGGTGGGCAGCCACTTACAGCTGAGTCACGGCCACCTCAGCTCGATTGCTTCTGATTGCATGTCGAAATCAGCAGCGTAACCTCAGTGTTTTACAGGACAGGGACAGCTGTTTCATTGTTCTGCAAAACGGGTTGTGGGCTCTTTGTTTCACATGATCACAAGAGCTTTTAAGAGGTCATCAAGTGCCACCAAGTTAATACGTTTCACACCAAGACTATAAAGTTCAAACTCGGATCACTTGCAACTTGAAATGCTAACAAAGCATATTTTCACAATTACTAAATTAAGTCTAAAATAATGTTTTTTTTATTTCTGTTATGAGTGTTTTTTTTTTACGCTGAACTTTCAGTTGCGAGTATAAATGGAAGCAGACGTTAAAAATAGCAACTGGGTTGCTTTAATGAACATGAGGTCAGGTTATCTGTTTGATGTGTGCATCAGGAAAATTCATTTGTGCGCTTTTCTTATATGGGAGGCAGACAGACGGAGTGGAAAACAACAAACCATGGCAACCAAACATGACTGCAGACTAATGACAGGCTGCAAACCCAAAACTGTCATCGACATTTCTGCTCCCCCACTTTCTGCGCAGAGATAACAGTGGAAAGCGATGATGTCATGCCTCGTTTAAGTTTATACATCGTATAGAACAGCAGAACACAATAATCCTGCGGGCTCTCGGTCAGAGACGGGCCGTTGTCTCGTAAGCATCTAAAAAAGACGGTGGCAAAACTTGTTTCTCACTTGTCCTGATGCATGCTCAATAATCCAGGTAGATAAATCTAGCAAGGTTGAGTAAACTCCAACTCCTCTGGATGGGTTCTTCTTCGTTTAAACGTTACCCTTATTCAGTCTGACGATCTGCATGCGAACATATTTAGAAGCAGCGCACCTTCGCAGGAGTCATCAGGACTCTGTACCACAGAGCAGACAGCGTCCCCACTAGCTCAGGAGCCAGGCAGAAGGAGAAATCCTACACAAGACAGGCTCTAGAGCAATGTGGATATCCTAACTGGGCCTTCCTGAAAGCAGAGAAGAAACCCAAACAGGACTCCAGTCAGCCAACAGGTGAAAAGGAGGAACTCAGACCAGTGGTCATTCCATATGTTGAGGGAGTATCAGAGAAACTGAGATGTTTATTTTCTAAACACAACGTCCCAGTGGCTTTTAAACCCCAAAATACATTAAAGACTGGTTCATCCCAAAGATCCAGTCCCCCGGCACAAACAGAGCAATGTTGTGTATGTTGTTCAGTGTCAGGAGGGCTGTGATCAGTCTTACATCGGGGAAACTAAACAACCACTGGCCAAAAGGATGGACCAGCACAGAAGATCGACATCATCAGGCCAGGACTCTGTGGTCTACACTCATCTCCAGGCCAGCGGTCACTCTTTCAGGGATGAAGATGTTCACATCCTGGATAGAGAGGAACGATGGTTTGAGAGGAGTAAAGGAAGAAATATTTGTGGAAAGAACCCATCCATCATTAAACAGGGACGGAGGCCTTCGTGTGCAACTGTCCCCTTCTTACAATGCTGTTATTGCTAGTGTCATTCAGCCTTCTGTGAATAGCAAGCGGCCATCAGGTCGTTAGGCTGATGGTCCTACTTTTGCATGTGAACTATTTCTGGATGTCACCAAGAAACTGGTTGATCCACTATGAGATGGTGCTATTTATGACTGCGGTTGTTGCAGCTCCTCAGACTGAAGAAGTCTTTTGGATAAAAGACGAAACGTTTCAACCAAGAATCTGTCCAGAGGACCCAAATCAACCTTGATAGACTAGCGCACGTGTCAAGCTCAAGGCCCGAGGACCAAATAGGGCCCTTCATAACATCTTACCTGAATTCCAAAATTATATTTTAAAAGTGAAATACTTTTGTCGCTTCTCATTTTACTTCAAAAACTGAGTGTACTTTATTTAGTTCAGGACTTCTCGTGACAGTCTGCCAACTTTGAAGCCAAGAAAAAAATAGTTAAAACTTTTCCATAATCTTTTACTTTGATGTGGGAAAAGCGACAGAGAACAAACAAGACAAACTAAACACTTCTATCTGACTGGAGTTAATGTATGGAATGAAACTGGCCCATGCTTTGAAACATGTTTTTTTATTTTGGCTTCCTTTTGTAACCGAGTTTGACGACCCTGATTATTGGTCTCGTCTCCTGAACAGGTGGAGGTCAACCCTTCCTTAGACATGGCCGAGTCCGATTTCCAGAACAATGTGATGCGCTGTCGGTGCAAATACGACGGAGCACGAGTTTTCCTCTTCGGCTGCCACGCAGGTACTAAAACACATCGAACCGCTGCGCATAAATCCCCTCGCCTCACTGTTAGCGCTCTTTTATTTTGTTGTGCGTTCATTCATTTCTCATTTGTCTGTGTTTTGATCATCAGGTGATGGTTACAGCGCTGAAGTGGAGGACTTGTTCGACCATCAACGGCAGATTTCCAACAACTTCCTGTGAAACAGTGAACACCCAGATTTAGGAACTGTACAACTCTTCACCCCACCTGACAAGTCAGAGGCAGGAGGGTGGAAGAAGATGACATGCTATTAAAGAGAGAGATGAGGGGTAGAAGGTGGCTGAAGGGGGGGGGGGGGGGGGGGTATTTGTGACCAGTGGTTCTTGTTGTTTGAAAAACCAAAGAGGGGAACAAAATGTAGAGACCAAAAAGCTAAAAGTCCAAAGCATCCCGTCACCATGATCTGTGATAAAAACAGAGAAGACAAGCCTTGATGCTGTCCATGTTTATTCTGAAATTTTAACCCACCTTAAGTTATAACCACGGCTAAGATTAAAGACGTGAAAACAACTTTTAAAATGCATCACCTCACGACTGTCAATAAACCAACGACTTTGTACGGACTTCCCGTCCTTTTACTCACATTACAAAACGCAGTATTTACTGTTACAGCTTTATTTCTATTTTTTTGGAATTTATTTCATCTCATGGTGCTATTTTTGCTTTTTTTTTTTTTTTTTAATAAATATTGTAATGTATTGCAAATGTATTGTCATGTACAGTCTTATATTACCTCTCTCTAATATTGTTCTTCAGGTCTCTAATTTATGCAGAATTTTAATGTACTTTAAAGATTAAACTTGTTTGTATTGTTAGTTTTTTTGTTACTATGATAACTTCTTCCATTTTGTTTGTGCTTTTGCTGGTGAACGTGGGTAACCGGCACGTGAGATCTGGTTGTACCACAGCGCTGCGGTTAACGATACTTGACAACAGTCGTGAAAGAATAAAGGTCAGAGTGACAAACTGTCCGATCATTTCAGGACTGATTCTTTACGTGCACGCTCCTCCTGCAGGTTAAAAACAACACACAGACTAATAAATTAAAGTTTGAGATGAGTATTTTTGTAAACTTAAACTAGTGTAAAAAAAAAAAGTGATTAGTGTCAGAAAACTGTTAACTGTTCATGATAATGTTGACTAAATTTCTACAAATAATTTAAAAAATAAAGACGGAGATGACTGAACTAATATGTTAACTTTAAATGTAAAATAATCAGTGACAATAAATTGCTTGAACCCCATCTTTAACTGTCATAACTATTTGTCAAAAAAAAAATAAAGATTTCAATTTTCTTATTACGTCTTTTAATCTTTCAAACTAAAAGGAACCGAAAATCCGTGAGCATTTTTTGTCATGTTCATTTGTGATATTTTTTATTTGTTAAAAATCATAAAATAAACAATAAAACGAGAAAATAATTTATTTATTCCAATAGTGCGTTGTCACAATTTTAGAAAAAAATGATTGGATTAAAGCTGATTTGTAACCACAACTAAAAATGCCTTTTTTTCCCTAAATGTGCCCACACTCCATCTCTAAACTAAACTGAAATCAGGCCTTCGTTTGAGCCAGATTCTACCGGAACAGGATCGAGGAACTCTCTTATTTTGACAGGATATATTCCAGTAACTGTTTGCTTGGATCCGGTAGCGCTCAGGCTTACTAATAATACGAACTAATATGACTGCCTTGAATTAATAACACTTGTATTGGATATGTACACTGAAAATAATTACATAAACACTCATTTTCAACACAACAGTCACCTTAAAAAAATCTCCACACCTAAAAGAGAGGTGGGGGTGAGCGCCGAGCTCACCAGGCAGACGGCGGAGGCAGGAGCCAGGCATCTGGAGGTTCACATGTGAAGTTGGACAACAACGAGCAGGGACAGTGTCGGGCTCTGAACCATCAAGTGGAGTTGGGGGGGGGGGGGGGGGGGTCTTGCCCCACCAAGAGGGATTAAATAGAAGAAGGTTTACTGCCTTTGATAGATCTTA